CCCCCCCCCCCCCCTCCCCGGGTGTTTATTGAAGTAACCATATTTGTATTATGATCATTTATTCTTCACTTAACTCTGAAGATGACTTCCACTCAGGTTGTTGAAACTTCAGTCCCCTTCAAACAGTCCTTCTCAGGGCTACATTCACCCGGATGATCATAATACAAATATTGTTACTTAAATAAACATATAACCCAAGTATTACTGCAGTTTTCACACATTTCAATGGCTTGTTGTGAAATTGGCTTTACATTTACATTTACCAAATTACAAGCACGCCCTCTTTTCGAGGCTTATTAAGTGCTTGGGTAGGTCAGGATCAAAGTTAGTGTTCTAATTTACAGACCCCACTTTTTAATGCATCAACATATAGTTGTTACAAGCAAATCTGGCTGCTCTTCTCTGAACCATTTCGATCTTATTTTGGTTCACTTGGGTGAATGGGTCCCACACAGTAGACGCATACTCAATTTGAGGACGAACAAGGGTTTTGTATGCGTTAGCTTTGATGTGTTTTTGGTGAATTTGCAAGTTCTACTTTTCTACTGCCATCAGTCAAGAACATAAGAGGTATTGACTGATTATTAACTACCAAGTTTACTGGACCCGTGAAACGAATTTTTTTTAATTAGGGAGTAAACAGTCTAAGTAAAACAATGGAATATATTAGCTTATAGTTTCTACTGCTACGTATTTTATGCTTAACTTATTTTTCACGGGTTAAGTAAAACTACTCCGTTATTATTGGCGCCTAAAAATTCGGCACACAGTGAATTCCAAGGAGTGACGATTAGTGCTTAAGATCCGTATAATACCTTTACGACACGACAGGAGACGTCTGTAAGGCGACAGAAAAGTCAATAGACGTTTGTCTGTAAGGTACACGAAGAATACGTAAACACAGCTTAAGACATTAAACTTCGACAAATAAAGATGCCCTTTCAAGAACAAGTTGCTTTACTCGTAAATTGAGTTCAAGTCGTGATTATTTACCCTTCTAACCGAATATATCATTTCAAACAAACATCATAGCTTTTTTTCATCATAGCTTGTTTGGGCGAAAAGAAAGAAAGAGAAAGAAATATAAAGAATCAACTGATTTCTTCATCATGGTTTCGTACCAACACGAAGTCGTCTTAAATATTTCTCTATATTATTATTCTAACATTAAATGCAATTAACAGTACTTACCCGAAAATCGGCACGAAAATAGCACAAAAGTGTTGAGAAGTGTTACCAAGGCTATTCCGAAAATCAAGCATTTTGAAAATGAACATTTCCACGGTCTACGCATTATCTACGATAACGAGCCATCGAAACTAATAAAGAGCGAAAAAAAGCAATTTGCTAGATGTCATTTTGGATTTAATTGCAAATAAATTATGTAGATGTAGATGAAGCCACAGGCAGCCCAACCAATGCATTCGTGGTGTGCATAAGAGCATTATTTACAGTAAACAAGACCCTGCTGGCAGGGTACACTGGGATACCTGGAGGACCTGGAGGACCTGGTTTCAACATGCATGGAGGATTTAGTTAATTGGTTGAGTTTCTAAAAATACTGATAAAGTATTTTGTGACGTCTCGAAGTAATGATAAACTAGACCCTGGTTGGGACGGTTTACTAGTATAAGAGTCTCTAAGAATCTAAAGGAGAAGTAAAAATAAGCAAAATTTCGAACAACAGTGTTAAAAGCCGTTTATAGGCAGAGCGTTTATGCCATACTCATCAAACTCATCAAACCCAAAAGAAGTCGAGTGGTGTGAAGTTGTGGACTTGTTCAAATCATTGTGCTTAGGTCGACCTTACATGTAATGTTAGGTGTTGAGTGGGATCATCGGCATCCAGCATCCAGCAAGCCACGGTCTCTTACCTCTCACTTGGCTCAGTCTTCATGACTTCAATCTCAAGTTTTCTCCTTCAATTATATTAAGGATCAGTCGAAACCACGAGCTTGCTCAACACTCAAAGTATACGACAATGCCATCAGTAATTCATTATATTCTGCACTGAATTTTGTTATATCAAAATCGATTTTGCACGCTCATGCAATACTTCAAAAGAACGACTGACTGCACCACTTAATTTGAYCACTTACTCAATTGATTCTGCACTGAATTTTGTTATATCAATATTTTGGCATATCATGCAATAACAGAGCGACGCTTATGGAAGGTTTTATGTTCATGCATGTGACTCAAAACCCGACCGCGCAAGTTAAATCATTTATCAAATTATCGATATGAAACTAAATTGAACTTTTTTGCTCCTGACCGTCCAGATTTTAATAACTTCTACTCTGCGTAAGAATAAGATGTAAGCATATGATTAAGGTTTGCAACTAGGAATGCGATTGATGCCAGGGATGTTGCGACCCCTTTTCTCTATCTCCTACTCCTACTCGTTCTGCGCATGCATATATGAAATATTATGAACACTCTGAAGTTTAMGTGAATAACATTGCGCATTCGTGAAGTCATTTCAACATTACCACAGAAGTCGAAAAAATCAGTATACATATTATCAGGAATTATTATATGACCGTGAATCTTAGAGCCTGGACACTAGCAAATCGAGCAATCTGATTGGATAGATCGCATCGCGGACTGGTCTAGATTCTCCGGTATTAACCGGTC